CTGGACTGTTCAATCTCTAAATTCCTCCATAAGATTCTGGGGATTCCCAACCTAATTAGACTATCCACGATTGCATCAGAACTAGGTATCCATCTTCCCTCCACCCTTGCTTGGATTTCCACCTTCAAATTTTGGTTGAAACTCCATCTCAATTCCCACCCAACTTCCATTTTATACGACCTTATCCATGACTCTCACATATCCAACTGGTTTAAACTAGTAGATGCCAAGCTTTCTAACCTTGACCTATCCCCTGAAATCCTGGCTGACCTCGACCTTCCTAAAGCCCACCTTATCATTAAGTCTAAATTACTGGAACAAGAAACCTGTACCCTCTTATCAAACCTCAATCCCACTTGTTCACCATCCTATCTCGGGCTCCCCCCCTTACTGGGCCGCCCAGCCAGTTACCTCATTCACCTGACAGACCCAAGGAAAAGGAGGGCCTTCCTCCTCGCTCATTTAAACATCTTCCCATCTGCCTATCATCTTGGTAGATACTCCAACATCCCCCAACCAAACACACTATGTACATTCTGCCTCCGTGAACCAGACACAGTAGCCCACATCCTACTTCGTTGCCCATCTCACTCCGCCCTTAGATCTTCCCTACTAAACCCCTTTCTCCAAACCCTCCCTCCCCCCCTCTGATCCCCTCCCAATCCTCCTTAGTGATTCCCTTCCAACCACTACCAATCTCGCTGCGGAATTTTTGTTAACCATTCTTATGAGCAACCACAACCCCCATCCCTCCCAACTTTAGTTCTAACCTGTCCCTTATATTTTCTACCTAGCAACCTGTTTACTTCTTTTTAATGTAATCAAATGCCAATAAAAGGTCTATGTATGTAGGGATTCCATGTTTCCCCCATTTCTTAGAGTCTTCCCATTCTGGCATTTTGAATCATGGGTACAAAAACATATCTCTCACATTCCTTCAGAAGGATTGAATCTCATGATTTTCTCAAACTTAACTGCAACATGGGGGTGGATTAGGGATGTTTATGGAAAACAGCAAGGAGATTTCTAAGTACATGTCCAATCTTCTCCATATTTGACAAAGAGGAAATCCAAAATATCAGCAATCACTTTGCCAAATATAGCCGTCATTTAAGAACCTCCTGAATGCTATAGCCTGTTTCTTGAAATATGCCCTCCTATCAGAAAGGGACAACAGAATGTTGATTTAACTTGTTATCCAGTATCAGAGATGCAGTCCTGCGCAGCTGTCATATCTATGATTCAGTGGCAGAAATTTAATTTTGGTCTGTGTACCTCTTATGACGACCCACAGTTTATGGGTTGATTGTTATGGTTTCACCACCATCTTTTGCATTAGTTTAGCATTTTCTATATAGTTAAGTTTGGAAGGGTTTTTAATTTAATGTTTTGATTTCTATCATTACTGAATTGAATTTATATTTATCATGATGTACTGATTCTAAGCTGCCTGGAGTAGTGTCACGGCCACTGGTTGGATGAGGGGAGGGGGGGATGAAATGAAATGAAATGAAACTCCTTTGTGCAACTTTATGTCACTGAACTTGAATGTTGTCTACAATCACGATTCTTTGGGGGTAATTAAGAGATGCTTCCTCCATGTGCTGCAAGCTTACCTTGATCCATTGTGATACATTTCATTCTAGGGAATCCTTTGACAGCCCCAAAAAGAAGAGGAAAGTACTCATTAATGTTGGCAATCACTAAATTGCCAGTCCTGCCAAGAATGGCATTATGGCCAGTATATCACCTTAGCTTCTGTTTGTTATAGTGGCTGTGGAAGTTTATGTCCCTACCTGAAAGCTAAAAAGCATCTGTAAGGCTTTGCTCTTCAAAAACAAATGCAGCACATTCCAAACACTCTTTTTTTTCTAATTGGAAGCTGCCCAGATCCACCTGTGTTGAGAGTTGCCATCCCGGGCACAGCATGTTTGTCCAGCCAGGGAAGCAAGTGTGTTGCTATGATTGTGTGGAGTGCCCTGAAGGGAGGATTTCAACCCAGATGGGTAAGTGAAGCATTTCAGACTTTCATAGACATTCAGTTGAAGATCCCTCTCCCTGGATTCCTGATACCCAGTCAGGAAATGCATTTCTTGAAACCAAAGAACATTCTGAAAGAGAAATTAATGTTACTGTTGAAAAAACTGGTTAGAGGTCCATGGATTCTTTGCATTTTTCAGTCAGTGGTAGGTGAACATGGAAATACTTTATTTTTCTGTGTAAAACACTATATTTTGGCTAAAATCTATAGAGTAAAAATTGACAGTGGTCTTATACACGGAAGCAAGCTGAGGATAGAACAAAAACAAGTGGAGGGGATGGCAGGGATCAAAATGATCCTGCAGAGCTTTGATCCCTGCTTTACCCTCCACTTGCTAAGCCCATGGGGCTTAGCAAATGGAGGAGGGAAAGGATCAAAGCAATCCCTTGGATGTATAACGGGGAAAGGAATCAAAACGATTATGCAGTCGTGGGATGGCTTCGATCCCTTTCCCCCTCCTTTTGATAAGCCCTGTGGGGCTTAGCACGAAGGGAGAAAGCAGGGATCAAAGCAATCCTGCAGCGGTTTGGTCCATTTCCCCCTACACTTCTTAAGCCCCACTTAGATTTCTTGATTTTTGATTAGAAAAGTGGGGGGATGTCTTATACACTAAAAAATAAGGTACTTCTATATGCTCGCAACACTCAAACTAGTCTTTCCTTTTCAGATGCAGGTCAGTGTGAGAAGTGCCCTGTGGACCATTATCCAAACAAGAACAAAAATTGGTGCATTGGTAAAAAGTTAAGCTACCTGTCTTACGGTGAACCATTGGGAGCAATTCTGGTGTCTTTTACTCTCTTCCTTAGTGGGAACACAGTTGTGGTAATGGGAATATTCATTCTCTACCACCACACTCCCATTGTCAAGGCCAATAACTGGGGAATCACCTGTGCTCTCCTCTCCTCTCTGCTCCTCTGTTTTCTCTGTTCCTTCCTCTTCATTGGGTGGCCTGGGAAGGTGATTTGCCTCCTGAGACAGATGGTGTTTGGTATAATCTTTTCTGTGTCCATCGCTTGTGTCTTAGCCAAAACCTTGACTGTGATTTTGGCCTTCATGGCCACCAAGCCTGGAAGCCAGATGAGGAGATGGCTTGGGAACAGACTTGCTCTGTCAGTCATCATCTTACCCTCTCTGATTCAAATTGATATCTGCATTGTTTGGTTGGCCATTTCTCCCCCATTTCCAGAATCTGACATGCATTCCCAGAGTGACACCATCACACTTCAATGCAACCAAGGTTCAGATCTCATGTTCTACCTTGTCCTGGGCTTCATGTGGCTATTGGCCATTATCAGCTTCACAGTGGCTTTCTTTGCCCGGAGGTTGCCCAACTCATTTAATGAAGCCAAGCTGATCACTTTCAGCATGTTGGTTTTCTGCAGCATATGGGCATCTTTTGTGCCAGCCTACCTTGGCACCAAAGGGAAATACACAGTGGCTGTGGAGGTCTTCTCCATCTTGACCTCTAGTGGTGGCTTGTTGGGCTGCTTCTTCTTCCCTAAATGCTACATTATGATTTTCCGGCCTGAACTAAACACCCGAGAGCAATTAGTAAGAAAAAGAAGCTGTGTCAATTTGGGATTCAGATTGAGAAAACTGTTTGTTTAAAAATAAATGTATAATTTTGTTTGTATGCTTGCCATGTTTTTCAGTTTCAGGTTCAGGAATACCAATTTATTAATATGCAGCTAAGAATAAATGATACTTATGTACAAATTCTTGGGGAGAATAGGTGAGATTTTTTTCCAGTCTATAATTTATCAATTTATTAATTTAAACTATTTTGACCCTGCTTTTCTGCTTAAAAAGGACCCAAGGTGGCTTACATTGTTAAAAGAAAATCTTTAAGGCTAAATACAGTAATACTGAAAAGGATCAAACTAAAAATGGCAAAGAAAAGCAGCCCCCAAAAGACATTCAAAGCAGTAAGGCACAAATGTCCATAAAAAAACCCCATTCAGGTAGCCAGTCAGTAGGGGAAAGCCCACCTGAGGAGAAAGATCTTTGTCTGCTTGTTGAAGGACAGGAAAATTTGGACCCGCCTAGCCTCCTGTGGGAGGGAGTTTCAGAAACTGGGAACAGTGATAGAGAAGGACATCTTCTGTGTTCCCACCAAACACACCTTTAAAGGTAGTGGGGCTGAGAGGAAGGCATCTCCTGATGATCTTAATAACCTAGCTGGCTCATAAACAGCAGTGTGGTCCTTGAGATAGCTTTGACCCAAGCCATTTAGGGCTTTATGGGTTTGAAGTTGCATTTTGAATTTATTTATTTATTTATTTATTTATTTATTTATTTATTTATTTATTTATTTATTTATTTATTTATTTATTTATTCATTCATTCATTCATTCATTCATTCATTCATTCATTCATTCATTTATTCTACTTATGCCATGAAAAGGGTCAGCATGAGTCAGAATTGGCTTGACAGCACATTGATGATGATGATGATGATGATGATGATGATGATGATGATGATGATGATGATGATGACGACGACGACGATGATGATGA